CATCGACCCCTATATAATTTTTCGAAATCTCCATCGACCCCCGCAAAAGTAATTTTCTGTTAATTAAAATAAAACTATATTAGATACTGTGTTTGTAAATTTATTTTATGATTTTAAGCATTTATTAAAGCAATAATACATTGTGTAACAATAGTTTTAATAAAAATATATTAATATTGAAATTTAAATACCTTATTATTAAATAATAAGTAATTATGCATAAGTAGATATAATAAGTAAAGTAACTAAAGATTTACTGCTTCTTGATCAATGAGATGGGTGTGCCTGGTGTTTTTTTGCAAGGTTCGCTATATTGGGTTCAAAATTGGTCAATTTTAATTTTCGTCAAAATTGGTCAATTTTGTAATTTTCGTAAAAAAATACAAAGTGTGCTATAGTTTTGTCGCGGGCTGTACTAATCCATATTATTAATGCTTACCTTCTTTTTTGTGCATTGATAATTAAAATTGATATCTAAACCAAACGAATGGTTTTATCGAAACAATAACTAATTATCCAAAACTATAAAAGTTTTAATAATGACACTGCAAATATTCAACACAGTTTGCAAAGATAGCTGAAACTGCGTATGATATTTGCATTTGTAACGTCAATGCTCGTCACACGTGACATTTGGACAAGCGCACATATGCATATGACTTATAAACTGCGCTGAGTTCGTGCCACTGCGCGGTGGTACGTAAATACTTGTTTCACCCCAATAAATATACGTTTATTAATTTATGTTTTATAAAGAAACTGATATTGAGTCAATTATAAAAAAAAATCACAAATTTCACATACTTAATTAGGTATGTGTGATTTGCGTACTGAGAACTGTTTTTTTTTTTTCGACCCACAATCGACCCTTCCGATTCGGATCGATCCCCATTCGCCCCCCTGTCTCAGATCGAACCCCGCTTTTGTTAAATAGACCCCTGGGGGTCTATATAGACCACTTTGGCGACCTCTGGATTAAATAATGCTTTTTTTGAGAGTAATCTGCTATTTTCATAACTGCTATGAGTTTGCTCCAGTTACTCCAGGTTAGATCAAGTTTAACCTATTTTTAGCCAGCGTTTCCTCTGCTTATTTTGGAAATACCACAAAACGTCAATACAGAGAAAAGCCACAATTTTGAAAAAATTAAAACGCTTGTGGTCTAATTTCTTAGTAATTAAAAACTTACTCCAATGTAATATTATGTGGGCTCATAAAAATATGCAAAAAATCAGAATATGGCACTTATTTTGATAAAATTTGTCTGGATGAAAAATGTCTCCAATTGTACGATTTTTCAAAAAAGTTTAATAATTTATGAAATATTTAAGTTACTTGTCCGTTCCAAAACCAGGTAATTCTTCACGGCAGGATTGCATACATAGTTTAAAATTGTAGTTTAGCTTCATGTTTAATGCACTTAAAATATGTTGTTTTTTTTTATTTTCCTTGGCAAAAGAGTTTCGAAGAACCCTGTCAATAGCTACAGCTTTTCCGCTTCTATACCATCGAATCAGAATTATTGCGTAGTTTTTAATAAATCTCAATCTTTAAAGTTTGCTCTTTAACCAAAACTTTATCATTCGAAACATTTCTTCAAGGATTTGTTGCCCAAGTTATTTCTATTGATTCTTTTTTTTTTAAAATAAAGATTGAGAACAGTATAAATGGCATTTCTTGTTTAAAGAGCTTAAGAAGACTCTTTTGAATAAGTTGAGTTCACTAACATGAATATTTCTTTGAGTAATTTAAGATATTTGATGGGGCATTGCAATTGGGTGTCTTCGTTCTATGATCCTTTATTTGAAAACTGAAATTTTTGTTTTAAAAAAAGATTATGTTAAATAAGTAATAGGTGAAGTTTGAGGATAAAGAAAAATTTTAATTACCAAATATTTAAATTTTAGGATTTTGAGTTTGACTTAATTAAAAGAATTGAAAAGTTCAAAATTAGTTTCAAAATTTTTAGATATCTGTTTTGTAAAAGAACATGTTAAAATTTAGCATGTTTCTGGTTGTACAAGAACACCGAAAGACTCGGTAACATTTACCGATGTGGTTTCGTAATATTTCTGTAGAAATTAACAATACAATATGGTCTTATGATATATGATAATATTTAGTAAATGTGGTGAAATTTAGTAATTTCCACATGATACCTTAAAGCATGGCATTAAAGCCATTCATTCGGTTAAATTTACTGATCCGTTTTGTATGTTGTATTAAATGTGTGGAAATAAGAACTATAATTTTAAAAATCAGAATTTTCGGCAAATCGTAACCATATGAACAGAAAAATTGCCAAATAAATGCTTTATATACCGTATATTTTGGTTTTATTAATTAGAATTATCGCTCGTTTTTTTTTCTGAAATGACATTGCCATTCAATGCGGTAATTTTTCCCGAATGTTTCTCTCTGTGTAATTATCCGTGTATAGATACAAAGTTTTTGCTTCGATTTCATGTCATAAATAGTTACAATTATTGTTGGTTTTAAAAAAACGTCTCTTAAATAAATGTCTCCATAAATCATGTCTTTTAACCAGAACTCTATTTTTGCGAACTGTTCATCAAGCTTTTTTTAGACTTACTAAGCAAATTCTATTATTCATTTTTTTAAAACGATATAGATTGGATTTTAGGTTCAAATGGCAAAAGAGTTCTTTAAAAGGAACATTTCTTTAAGTTAAGTAACTTGATACTGCTTTACAGTTAAAAGTCTTCATTCTTTGAACTCCAGTTCATGAAAAGTAAACGGAAGTTTTCATTCTACAAAAAAATTATGTTAAAAAAACGATTTTTTTTAAATCTGAAAAAAAAGAAAAAGTGTAATTAAGAAGCCTTGACAATTTAGGGTTTTGCGTTTATCCGAACTCGGGGCTAAAATTTTTTAAACGGATACAATTTATTTATTGAATTGCTTTTTTCCCGAGAAAGCATTATTAGAAATGAATTGCTTATTGTTAAAAATACATTTACTCTTTCCGAAAATTATCTGTTATTGAAATAGTTCTACTATTGGTGTTTTCTCTTTTCCGTCTCGCTTTCAGGCCTGTCCGGACTAGAATTTATTTGATTTGGAGCAATACTTTTCTGAATTTGTGTTTCGGGAATATTTCCGCATGGATTTGCTTATAATTATTCTGATATATTCATGCATTTCCACGCACAATCCACTGAAGATTAATAGGAATTTTCCAAGCAACCAAAGATAATAAGAGCTATTGGATTTGACAAAACTATTTAATTTATCTATATTACGCCGCTCCCCATTATGAACTACTATATGTTTGCTAATATTCCAAATATAAGGTTCTTTTATCTAATTTATTATAACTTATGCTAATTTTATGTTTTATTGTAATTATTGTCTAACAATGCTTTCAATTAGGTCCAGAAATAGCTATTTTATCTTTTTATCGTAATTTGTTGATTTGGCGGTCAGATGGGTGAAAAGTTGATTATGTAGAAAAAGGAAATAAAAGGTGGTTTCTAAAGTTTACATCGAAAGACTTTATATATATATTGGGTCTAATCTACAACCTTCAGAAATAATACCAAGTTTTTTCTTAATAACATTCGTAGTCAATTACTTAGATCCTACACTTGGTAGTTGGTACTAGACTTAGGTTATTGCCCATAAGTAAAAAATCGAAATTTAAAATTTCTAGATCGGAATATTTAAAAAAGTTATGAATGAAAGATTTGTTTTCCATTCCTTATTAAAGATATTAAAACGAAAGTTTTAAAGGACTGAGAGTCTTATTATAATATCATGTTTAGAAAAATTATCAATTAATCACGTCCAAAATTTAAGAAAAATTAGAATTTCAAGGCTGAAATTGAAAGGTATTTGAAAATTATTTTATAGACTAATAATATTTATTTTTTATTTCCTTCTTGCGGAATTAAAATAAATTTCATGTGGTGTAGGTGAATATATATATATATA